ATTGCGATAGTAGTAGAAGGGCTTGCACTTCGTCATCGAACGTGATGTCCACGGAGATAAGTTGATCAACAATCGTGTTGAACTCGCTGAGGTGCATCGTGAAGGATCGTCCTTCTGCCATCTTGAGGTTGAAAAGAGTTTTGACTAGATGCACCTTGTTTGCTGCTGACGGTTGCTCGTACATCTTCGCGAGCGCTTCCATAAGCCCTACCGTCGTCTTCTCCTTCAGAATATTATGGGCTAGTGATTTGGCGAGCGACAACTGGTTTTGCCCTAGAGCCTTCCTATCCAGTACCTCCCAATCACCATCAGACTTCTCTTTCTTCTTTCCCTTTTTCTTGCCCATCAGCGGGCGATACAAGTCCTTCTGGTACAGATAGTCCTCCATCTGTGACTTCCAATAGGCGAAATCCGATCTATCGAACTTCTTAATCTTTGATTTGCTTTCCTCTGCCATGACTTTCACACAAATTGCTGAACGAAGCTCTGATACCAGTTGTTGGGGGATTCGAAACAATCAATCGAACCCTTGCCCTTTAGGACCTTGTGTTGAAAGTAGGAAAGTAGGAATAAAATCACAAATAAAGATCTAACTTGCAAAAAACAGTAAGGGAGATGAACACACGAATTTAACGAGGTTCGGCAACATGCTTACGTCCTCGGGAGCCACACCACACAATCTCTTTATTAATTGAAGAAGAAAAAATACAAGCTCTCAAACAAGGGGTTAATCTCTCTGAGATTCTCTCTCTTTTTGCAGTCAAAAAGCTCTCTTTCTGATGTAGTACAAACCCTAAAATCGTTTGGGGTATATATAGAATCCTGGTTGAAACAGATTCCTAAACAGAACAGGAAAATTGCCAAAACTACGTCCGGTCGACCGGCCCGGTCGACCGATTAGACTCCAGAGAGTTTGGCGGGCGGCCCGCGGGGGGCGCCGGGTCGACCGGGCCGGTCGACCGCGACCTGATCCAAGCCCTCCTTGCTCCTGTGCATGTTTGCGGTCGACCGACCCGGTCGACCGCCGATCTGTCTGTTCGTTTTTCTACCCTTTTTTTGATTCTAGTCTTCGTCTCGAACTTTGGGTCTACACCTTAGACTAACAAAATTCACGTGGGAGCCTATATGCAGCAACAAAACTAGAGGGATAGTAAGTTTAAAACAACGATACTATGCATCTATACGCAATTAAAGCCTTTAGAAAATTATAACTGTATTTTTTAGAAAAAAGGATGAGAAAGTGTACATGTAGTTATAATTTTAGTTATTTGTTTCGCTGCAATCAACTTTTTTTTTTGTGGCTACGGTTGCAAAAAGAGCATCGATCATTGTTTGGCATAGAAGATTTCAGGTAAAATTGACTTGAAATTGTTTTTGTAAAAGCTATAAAACTGTAATCATAGCACTCTAAATAATTGCAAACCATCATTACAAATGGCTTTTACAAATTTCAGTTGAGCTTCCGGGTCTCACACTGATTTCTTTTTCTATATTCAACTCCAACAAGACATGAGCTTTCCCTATCCAAGAATTCATTAGATTGGGAGTTCAAACTCAATTATTTCTTCTTACTTCATGCACCAGAGAGAAAAAAAAAAGTGAAGAGAAAAAGATGTTTGATACGTATCATATCTCAATTATTGGACGCGCCTTTTTTTGTTTTTTGTCCATATGTATGTTGATGTTTTGGACAGTGAGATACATCTTAGTGCAAGTGATTGACCTTAAAATTAGCCTATAATAATCAAATGATCTAATTAGAAAAATGAATAACTTAATGTGTAGATTCCATGGGTTTAAAAATGGGGTTTATCATAGAAATCACTTTAAAATAGATCGAGTCATTCCATAGAAATCATATTTGAATTTTTAATTTATACACAAACCATCTTTAATTAAATCATCTTTAATTAAAATGCTTTGTTACCATCAATTAATCATTTAGCCCACTTTCTAGTTAATTTTTTTTCTTTAATTTAACCCACCTAACATCCATTAAGAATTATTTTTCTAATACACTAGATATATATTTGACAAATAATTATTACAGAAAAATTGAAAAAAAAAACTTGACTTAAAAGCAAATCCAGGTGGTTGATTGAAAAAAAAAACATTTTAAATGTGGTTTATGTATAAATTGAAAATCAAATGTAGTTTATGTAGAACAATTCTATTTTAAAGGTGGTTTCTATGGGAAACAAAACCCTTTAAAATCCTACGTTTTTTTAGTCTTTCACTGGTCTCTAATATTACCTCCAGTCATTAGTCTTGTTAGATCCTTTTCACAAACTTTCTTTAACTCTTGCTCACATGTTCACGTGGCATACAAACTTGTAACTTCACTTGCCTTTTACTGACGTGCAAGTGACACGGCAGGGGGAAAACAGTGAAAGTATAAGTTTTTCTTGCCATGTCAGCGAGAGTTAATGGAAATTTAATTATAAAATGGGTTATGCTGTCGACAACGATACTTTAGGGACTCCCACTCACACCTTTAAAACATAGAGGATCTAGATGATATTTAGGCAACACTTTAGGGACCTCTACTAAGGTTTGGCAAAAAGTAACAAGGGGCACGTTTTTCCCTTGGTTCTTTCATCTTAGCCATTTGTATAATCTAATAAAAAAAATTCAAAATAGCAAATAGGTGCCCGTATGTTTTTCATTTTAGAAAAGAACGCTGCTACAGGGACCCAAAATATGGGACCATAGAAGGGGACATGTGTGGTGTCCCCCTCCTATTGCATAATGAGCTGGTATGATGACCGACTCACACTAGTGGAAAAATAGGTTTCGCTGACGGCAACATCGATCACTAACGGGAGAATGCCATCAGCGATGTTTACATCGCTGACGGGATTAACCGTCAGAGATGTTGCCGTCACAAGTTTTTCGATACCATCAGCAATGTAAACATCGCTGACGGGACATGAATATCGCTGACGGGTAGCCCGTCAGCGATGCAGGAAGAAGCCCGATCCGACCGTCCACACTTTCTCCAAATCAACGGCTCAAAAACCTCCAACCCCCCTCCCACGGATCCCCTCCCGCCCATCCATAAATAACCCCCAAAATCTCCAAGTCGAGCTCTTCTCCAAGAGCTCCGCCTTCCCCTATTCGACGCCCTAGCGCCACCACACCCAACTCCATCTTGCCCACTCCGCCTCGTCGAGCCTTCGTCGAACTCCCTCGCCTCACGCCCAACACGTCGTCGTCACCACCACAGCGCCGCCCAACAGCACCTTCATCGCCTCCTCATCGACGACCACGCCCTCTGAGCTCGCCTCCTCGAGCTCCGTCACCACCCCCTTCGACCTCCTCCACCCACCGCAGTCCAAGCTCCGCCCCCACCCTAGCTCGCCGCCCCAAGCTCCACCGCCCAAATCCGCCTCCCAGCTCACTCCTGAACTCCTCTTCCACCGCCCCCAGCCACGCTTCGACGTCGCCTCTTCAAATCCACGCCGACCCATCTCCTCCATCTTCCCGTCGACGACCGCATCACCTCAAACTGTCGGCCTGCTCACCTGAACCTGACACCAGATCCTTACCGCCCTCACTTCCTGCCTCAACCCTCCATCAGACCCGCCATCATCCCTGAGCTCCAATCCCCCCGATCAGCGAGCTCCTCCCTCCCGACGTCAACCACCTTCTTGTTTGTGATTTAGAATGTTAATATAGTTTTAATTGGGAAGAATTTGAATGGAATTTGGTGAATTTAGACATTTTTGTTCCCAGATAGATTTATTATCCACAATTAAAACTTTTGATCGTAAGGTTTAGTAACTGGGTTAAATTAATTGGTAACTGTTGATTGCCTATGAAGAGGATGAAATTGTGCATCTTTGGTAACTGTAATGTATGTATGTAGTGCAAGGATTGTTAACTGTTGATTGCCTATGAAGAGGATGAAATTAATTGGTAACTGTTGATTGCCTATGAAGAAGATGAACTTTTGATCGAGGTTTACTATCCACAAATGAAGGCGTCTTTGGTAACTGTAGTGTATGGATGTAGTGCAAGGATTGTATACAGAAAGTTTTGCATAAAATCAGCATAATTTTTTTGGTGATTATATAACATCCCTGACGGGCATGCATGCCGTCAGCGATAAACATTCCTGACGGCATGCCGTCAGGGATGTTATACACATCCCCGACGGGCATGCCGTCAGGGATATTTCAACATCCCTGACGACTCTTGTCGTCAGGGAAGATGCCGTTAGTAATGCTTATTACTGACGGCGTCCCGTCAGGGATGTTTCTTCCCTGACGGGACTTTTTCTGACGGCGTATCCTTGACGGGAAGCCGTCAAGGATACGTATCCCTGACGGGAAATTTGGCATCCCTGACAGAAAAGCCCGTCAAGGATGCCTATTTTTTTACTAGTGTCATTATGCAATAGGGAGGTGACACCTCACATGTCCCCTCCTTTGATCTCATATTTTAGGTATTTAAGACATTTTTCTTTAGAAAAATGATAAACGGATTCGTTTTCACAAACGACAAGTGAAAAAGCAATTTCTCCTGCACTGAGCATGATTACTTTTTTTAGGGGTTTTTGCTTTTAGACCCATTTGTTTACTCCCATTTATCTTTAAACTCAAGTACTATTATTTCTATCTTTAAGCCCAATTCACCTTTTATATTTATCTTTAAACCCAATCTCCAAAATATAAAAACAAATGGTGAAAATATAGTATTTTGAAGATTGGATTTAAAGATAAATACAAAAGATGAATTGGGCTTAAAGATACAAATAATAGTACTTGAGTTTAAAGATAAATGGGAGTAAACAAATGGGTCTAAAAGGAAAAACACCCCTTTTTTATCACTTTAACCCCAATAAATTGGTCGGCATTGACTTAATTTTCCATCGTAGGTAGCTATTAATTAAACCTCATAAAATTAGATGTGACACACGTAGGGACCATATCTTTGTTTTGTGTAGCTGAGATGAAAACAACATGCAGTTGCCCACGACTAATTCTAAAATAAGTAGAGGATTCAAAATCTCAACTGGCCACTCGACTCCTTATTAATACAAGATGCTCTAGGCACTCACCCTTCAACAAAGATGTACACGTCCTACTTCACGTAAATAAACAAGCAGAGAGCATCTTCCAAATTAAGGAGGAGGAGAAAAAAATGACAGAGAAGACTGAAGCAGAGAAGACGCAAATCATGAAGGAAGAAGTCGAAGAGCCATCCATCAAATACAGGGGCTGGAAAGCCATGCCGTACGTTATAGGTAAACGTTTACATCCTACACTACGTTACGTGCATTATGTATATGACTTGATTTTTCGAGAACTCGATCGATTTTGTTGTGCAGGAAACGAGACGTTTGAGAAGCTGGGGACGCTGGGGACGTCGTCGAACCTGCTGGTGTACCTCACGACGGTGTTTCATATGCAGAGCGTGACCGCGACGACGCTGCTCCAGGTTTTCAACGGGACTACTAACTTGGCACCGGTTTTCGGGGCGTTCCTATCTGACACGTTCTTCGGGCGATATTGGACCCTGGGGGTTGCCTCAGTGTCGTCTCTCTTGGTACGTACGTACGTAGTACTGTCTGATTTGCTGTATATGGATTTGGTATAGATAGTTACCTAAATTCGTTGGTTGGTTAGTAATAATATACGTTTTATTGTTAACTATAAGATAAATATGGTAATTGCTATTAATATCCCTATTTTTATTGAATTATTTCAAGTTTTAGAGAGGGGGAGCAGTTGGAGAGGAGGAAGGGAACATAATGCCCGTGTTGAATAGTTAGTTACGGGAATGGTCATGCAGTGACGCTAGGAGAAGAACATGGAGAGCATGAGAGAGAGAGAGAGAGAGAGAGAGAGAGAGAGAGAGAGAGAGAGAGATGAGAGAGAGAGAGAGAGAGAGAGAGAGAGAGAGAGAGAGAGAGAGAGAGTAAACCAAACACGCGTGTCATGTCCTAATGGGCAAGAAGTTATAGCCCTCAAATGTGTACGTACGCCTTATCTACAAGATAAGGCACGGTTCTTAGCCACAGGTTAAGTCATCATACAAACTTTGGATAATTTCACTGCCAGTCCTCTAGTGCAGGTTAGCGCTGTGAAATCGGTCGGTCGGTTCGGTTTTTGACTAAATTTGGCCAACCTGAACCGAACTGCCTATCATTCAAAATCGAAGCGAACCGATTTAAGTCGGTTCGGTTCGATTCAGGTCGGTTTGTTCGGTTTTTACTTAGGTACGAATTTTATGTCCAAATTCAATTTCACCTCTAATCTATTGACGAAGAAAGAAATTTCTTACACTTCAAGTTATTAAAATTCATAAACTATTAAATGCTACTGAATATTAAATGTAGAAATCAAAATCTTATTCCTATCAAAGATTACATAATTTTTTTAGAGAAAACTTACATAAAGAATTAAAGTGATCTCAATTTGATAGACAAAGTATATAAAAAAATATGTAATAACTTCGATGTTGGGTATAGTTTCCATAAAATTATAAGTTTGATCCAAAGAGAAGTTTGATCCAAAAATATATCAATCGAGGAGAAAAATCAGGAAAATGTTAGAATCAACATTATAGTTTAAGTTTCTTACCTCAAAAGTAGATTGGTCCAAAATAGAAGAAGCGAATATGTAATAGAGAGGGATAGAGAACTAGAGATAATGAAAAGCCGTAGAATTGGAGAGGATACTATTGTTGGGGTATTTTATCGCTATCAAGTCCATGAGAGAAAAATTTATCAAGCTGCAGAGAAGTAACTCTATATGAACTATAATGGGTCGGGTTTAAGCGGATATAAATAGTAATTAGAATAGGTAATACAATTCGGTCGATTCGGTCGGTTCGGGTTGAAAATACTTCAACCCGACCAGACCCGAACTCTAATAAAAACCGAACCGAATTGTTAAATTTCGGTCGTTCGGTCTGTTTGTTCGGTTTGAACCGAACTATGCTCACCCCTAGTGCGCATGTATCACATAGTAGACTTATGTGTATGTTTGCAGGAACAGTTGTAAGAAAACTAAGAAATAAATTAGTATTAATCTTCCTAACTGACTTAGAAAAAGAATGAATACAATCTCTCAAAGTAATATCTCTCTAACTGACTTAGAAAAAGAAATTACAATTTTCTTATCGGTTTCCCGAGTTACAAAAGAGAGAAAAATCGACGAGGATCTTTTCCTTTGTTTAATACTGGGTTCTTCTTGGTGGCGATGGGAGTTCGATTCTTGTATCTCGTTGACAATCCGAACACTTCACTTCGTGGAAGTTTGTCTCCGCCTCTTGACTTAGCGTCTTGGAGGAACTTGTAAAGCAAGTTTAGAACTCTAAACGAGTTTAAAACTTTGTGAGAGAGTTAATTTTAGAAAGGAAATTCAATCTTTTTTACCGAAATAAGCCAATGGCTTTCCTCTATAATAGCTGATCTCAAATATAGCTCCAAAGATGGTTCAAAAAGGGAAGCCAAATGACCTAAAAGCTCCAACCAAAAGCTCAAAAACTCCAGCCCTTTTTTAACTGTAAAACTAACTACTTATAGGGTTTAAGGGGTGTAACTGACCCCTTAATTTGCTCCATAATAGGGGCTTAATCGCCCCATTAAGTGGAAGACCTTTCAAGTAATTTGAAACGGTCAAACGCGACGTCCGCGTTCTAGTTTCAATACGCAGGGGTGGACCCTCGCGTTTGGCTTTTGAAACGCGAAAGTGAGCCCCGCATTTGGAGTTTGGAACGCAATGGTGAGCCTCGCATTTGGAGTTTGGAACGTGAGGGTGAGCCCTCGCGTTTGGAATTGAGAACAAGAGGGTGGACCCTCGCGTTTGGCCTTGAAGAGATCGTCAATTGTAATCTCCTTCTTTCGAATTTTGTAAGGATCGTCATCTTGTAACCCCTGCATTTGGCTTTTTAAGATGTGAGAGTCGTCAATTTGTAACTCTCGTTTGTTTTCATGAAAGTCGTTAGATTGTAACTTTCATCATCAGTGTATTGTGAGGACTAGCTATCTACAATAATTTTTTGACAGCCTACAACGTAAATTTTTTTTTTCAACATCTTAATAATCAATAGTAATATGAATAGATTTTTAAGAAATTATTGTCAAAATTGATATAAAATATCTTGCTACTAGAATCTGTGTTTATCAACTAGTGGGCGGTAATTAGACTGTTTTGAAATCTTTCTAATGTTTTCCTTCTAACTAATTTCAATATAAAATAAATTGTTAAGGACATATATGGATTTTTTTTGAAATCTTGACATGCATAGGGGTAAAATATACTTTTTCTTATATAAACGAGAAGAGAGTTATCCATAATTTACTTATTTGGTAGATACTAATAAACGAGTTAAGACTTATATGTGGTATTGAAAATATCAATGAGTTATGCGTAAGGCTAAATAGCACTTAAATACGTTAAAGTTTCATTCCCGTAGCACTTATATATCCTTAGTTGTACTTCCTAGCATTTATCTATTCTGAATTGTTCAAAATTACCACATTAATACCATTTGTTTTGCAAACGTGGAAATTTTTGTCAGAAGTTCTCATATAACATTTATATGCTAAGTTTATAACTTTTTGTCTATTAAGTTTGTAGAATTTATTATTAAAACTTTCCAAATTCTATTTTTAAAATAGAATCAGTATACATTTAAATAAGAATATGGGTAGATTTAATAATGATTTAACAAATATTAATAGTTAAAAAATTCTAAAATTAACATATGAATGTTATATGAGAACTTTTGGATCAAAATTTTCATGTTTGCAAAACAATGGGTATTAATGTGCCATTTTTGAAGAACTGAGGGTATATAAACGGCATGAAATACAACTGAGGGTATATAAGTGTTAAAAGAGTGAAACTATAAGATATTTAAATGCTATTTAACTATGTGTTATATACCCGAACAAAGTTTTCAAGCATCCATGTAAATAGAACGTGGACGAAAATTAAAAGATGATTTCAGTTTTCATTTCTTTCTTATTCAATTGCAAACCTATTAGAAATGATTGAAAATAGGGAACATATATAAGACGGATGAAGTGCATCCTGATCTGTTCCATTCAACCCTTCATTCGATTTGTGTTCTTCAACTGTACATTTTGTAATTCCGCTGTTTTTTCCTTCTGTATTGGCTCATTTTTATCATTAGATATTATATCAAAATACTCGCACAAAATACCATTCACGGATTAATAGAACATTAGTCTCAAAAATTAACTACTATATTTATAGTGCAAACCAGCCGAGTTAGATTTATGGTGATACTAATTTTTCCTTATAGGGAATGCTCATTCTCACTCTCACTGCGGCAATATCGTCACTCCATCCTCCACAATGCCATAATGGTCAACATTGCCTCACCCCAACACGCACCCAACTAGCCGTCATCCTCTCCTCCTTCCTCTTCCTAATCATCGGCGCTGGTGGCATCCGACCCTGCAACCTCGCCTTCGGCGCCGACCAATTCGATCCCAAAACCGACTCCGGTCGAAAAGGCATCGCCAGCTTCTTCAACTGGTATTACTTCACCTTCACCTTCGCCATGATGATCTCTGCCACAGTGATAATCTATGTTCAGACTGATGTTAGTTGGACATTGGGGTTGGCGATTCCGACTGTGCTCATGTTCTTTTCTTGCGCGGTGTTTTTCGTCGGGACGAGGATTTATGTCAGGGTGAAGCCCGAGGGGAGTCCGTTTACCAGCATTGCGCAGGTTTTTGTTGCTGCTATTAGGAAAAGGAGATTGGCATATCCTGATGATCCGCGGGGCTCGCTCTTTAATCCTCCATGCAAGAATTCTCTCAATTCCAAGCTTCCGAAAACTGACCAGTTCAGGTGAAGCTTAGTTTCTCTAAATCAAGTCATTACGTGCATCTCGTTGTACAGTAATGTGTACATTGAATCTGCAACATTTTATGTGATATCAACAATCACTTTTCAATAACTTCTCAATAAGGAACTCAGGATGTGAGCTGACTTATTAAGCAAAATGAACCATCAAGGAATAGAAGACATGAGATCCATCTGCTCCCATGTGATTAGCAGGACGAAACTTGTTATCTCTTGGTAGCTGGTTTCTGACTTCAATTGACATCTCATATCCTCCATTTATTTCTTAATAACTGATATACAAAATTAGTGTATCAATTGTGATAAATATTGCATAGCAGATACAGAATAAGTATGAAGATCATAACCAATGCATATGCCTATGTAAAACTAGAACATTGGATTTACATAAGTTGTTACACCATCAGCATATGTATCTCAGATTCTGTCATATTTAAAAATTTTAAATGCACCTAAATGCATCAGTTCTGTATCATATATATGCTATCCCACTAACTCTACACGGCATATGCACTGGTTGTACTGCTAATCTATAATTAAAAAAATTAAAAAAGGAAAAAGGAAATGAATGTCAGTAGATTTATGTGAGGGTGACTCTTTCTTTACTTGTAGACAGACGCGTTCTCTACAATGTTTCTCATTCTGAAGTATACATCAATATTGTAATAGTAATTCAAGAACCCAAATTGAATCATGTCTTCTTGATTTCATCCATCAGGTTTATAGAAAAGGCCGCAATCCTAGCAACAACAGACGAACTCAACCCCGACGGCTCTGCCACTAATCCCTGGCTCCTATGCACTTTACAACAAGTCGAAGAAGTAAAATGCCTCCTAAGAATCATGCCCATTTGGTCCGCAGGCATTCTCTACTCTGTTGCAACTTTCACAAACTCGTCCTACGTTGTCTTCTCAGCTCTCCAATCCAACAGACATATTTTCAATACCAGCTTTGAAATCCCAGCTGGTTCGTTCACCGTATTCTCCATGCTCGCTCTCTCAATCTGGATACCAATTTATGACCAAATCATAGTTCCAAAACTCCAGAGAGTCACCAAGAAAGGAGGCGGCATCACATTGCTACAGAGAATTGGGGTCGGTATACTTATGTCAATCATAGGTATGATTGTCGCTGCATTGGTCGAACAGAGAAGGAGGAGTTTCGCCAATTCAAGAATAAGTGGAGATATTTCGTCTATGTCGAGCCTTTGGTTGGTTCCTCAGCTTACAATTATAGGAATTTCAGAAGGGTTTAGTATGATTGGTCAGGTTGAGTTCTATTATAAGCAGTTTCCTGAAAATATGAGAAGTGGAGCGGGTTCTTTGGTGTTTTTGGGCGGCGCTGCGGGGAATTATTTGAGTGGTTTGATTATTACAGTGATTCATAGAGCAACTGGAGGAGATGGGAAGAGGAATTGGTTGGATGAGGATTTGAATAAAGGGAGATTGGATTACTTTTATTTCTTGATTGCGGTTATTGGAGGGATGAACTTCATGTATTTCATCGCTTGTGCTAGGTGGTATAGGTATAAAAATTCGGATACCGAGATGGAGATTTCTTTGGAGGAGAAGAAAACCAATGATGCATTGGTTTGAGGTAAATTGTCATGGAAATTTGAAGATTTCTAATGGAGAATGACGTAGAACTATTACAAACATATGCTATTGTGTAACTGCAAAAGTTGATGGTAGTAGTATATTCAGGATCTCTTGGCAGCGGTATACAATTTTACTGCACCAAGAGAGTTGTAACAGTTATTTTAGTGAGCACCAATAAATCTAAAATAATTGTTACCAATATTCTTGTTTACATTTCAGCAAGCAAGATGCTTTTAAGTTGTTATATCTAAATGTTCATTCAATAGTTAAAGAATTAGGTTTAGTGTCCACAGCTGGCTAACTAAAAAACATTAAGATTTTAGAGATCTGATATTAAATTAGGATTACCCTGATGCTCAAATACAAGGAAGGACACAAATATATCATTATTAACTGTGATACATTTTGCCTACCCTAAGAGTGGGAAGGGAATATCAAAGGTTCGAACCATCGAGGCGTATTCACATATCATTTAGGATATTATTCCTGTTAATTAGATCCAATTAACATCAATATTTAAACTTCTGCTCATTGCATGAAGACTCGGTTCGGGCTTTCTCACAGGACTTATCCTGAGAGTTATATTTTCATGTTTCTTCTCTTTACTGAGAATAAAAATACATGGCTTTGTCCATGACTCCATATATGTTTCGTGTTCATATCTCTTCCTATTGTTTTGTTAATTTCTTTTTAATGGAACGCAATACCTCAGTATTTTCCTAAAAAAACTTAACTACATCATTTCAAGCCTTAAATGTAGTCCCATGGTTGGCATAGTAAGGAGGCAACTGGCTTGTTTTCATCATAGTATTAACTATTAAGTACGTCTCATTGATCATGACTTGTACCACGACAGTATATTATGTTGTACTATGTTACAACCTTCTATCGATATGAAAGAGTATGAACTAGAACAGATACCTTATCTCCTCAATCATGAAGTCCTATGGTTGGTCATCGAAAAGGAACAATTACTGATTGGCACACACGTGGACAAAGGGGAGGATGAGCGATTAAAATTTGTTTAGCTGCCATTTTTCGTAGAAGAGTAAATTGAACAAAAGCAAGGGGGAACTTGACCCCTGTGAAATGGGTCCCTATCAGTTTGAACAGAGTCAGTCCCGTATCCAACTGTCTCCTATCTATTGAAACCTTAGTGAACCTGAGTATTTGATATGGCCTTCAAGATCACGAGCTAAGCTCATAAGCCTCTGACCACTGCCAAGAGCTCACATGAAGTATATGCATCTCAGCAGGAAGAGGACTTTAACTGGCTTCAGATAATTAAAGTGCTTTCACACAGCAGACATGATACCCAAATTTGCATTAAATTGGTAACTATTACAGAATATGATATAGTTTACCTCGCCGAAAAAGGATAGGAGGTATACATATATAGATATTTTAACCCACAGCAGTACACCATCATATGCTAGCAAGAGGAAATGCTAGGAAAACATTTGAAGCACCTACTGAGCACTGAAGTAACATATTAAATGCATAGTTTTTCTTAAAAAATATGAAATGCATAGGTGACGATAGTTATGGACCCCCACAGCCAATTGATAAATGGCACGAATTTGCAGATATTAGTTGAATTTCTATACACGTTAAACTTAACTGATTTGGACAGCTTACTGTTAGGACCATGATTAACATTTATTTCACTATGTTGACCAGCCATAGTTGCATGACTATTACTGACTCTACATCGCATTACTGCAGTTCATATCTTTTTTGAGATTGCACATGCCATATGGGCACTATGCTCAGCTGCCGAACATCTGCTAATTCCTCCCAAACATTGTAAAAATGGACTAAAGTTGGACAATAACATATATATGAGCGTTCAAAACAAATTTAATGTTTCTTCAAACATATTTATGAGAATCTTTAGGAAGCTCTTAATGTTAATTACACCAGCTTTTAATTGGTTGGGAATAAGAGAGTGTAACAGAAGGCATGAAAAAAAAGGAAGAAATTGCTCTAGCACTAGATTTATTCTGGATTGATAACAGTGTGAATGAATGGAATGAATTTCAATAACTTACTTGTGGTTCACGATTACTATACAAAATTCTATCTGTCGTATCTATAGTTTTTCACTCATGGGATGATGAGGAGGTTGTTTTCATAGCTGTTGTTGAATACAGTAGGCCTCAACGGGTCGATCATCCACACGCCATCAACAATGAACTTAATCTGCATCATTTTAGGAGACAACATTTAAGGAAATAGTGTGAGAAGGCTCAACAATCTGCATAACAACATGGAACAATTCCGACCTCATATCGACCAGGATACAGCTTCAAGTGTAACGTAAACATGCCTGAGCTTGATCTTTCCATTGTTTTCTGTACAACAATCATGAAAAGATTTAGTTTGCAGTCTCTCACTTATCAGCATTTAAGACAAGGATATAGAAAGGAATTCTAGACATGTAAAAGTTACCAATGAGCTGTAAGCTAATTCATAGACAGCAGGTGAAATACTCCTACTCCTTATGGTTCACTCTCTCTCTCCATACTAATAGTACAATAAAATTCCATGTTACTTAAATTTTTTTTATAGAAATGAGGAGTGTATTATTTAGGATGAGGTATCCAGTACTCAGTAGTCAGTATCCCTGCAGAAAGCATTTCGCTCAGTAGGAACAGTAGAGCTCAAGTGCAAAAATTACTAGGAAGAAGCTTCTCATTTGACAGTTAAAGATAGAAGAAGAGTTCGCAGTTTGGATCACTCTTTTCTCACCCCTTATTTTTCTGTTATTTTAAGACACTGTTATATATGCACTTGATCCTATGACTTCACAGCCGAACAGAAACACAATTTTTTATAATCAGGATTAAAAATTAAACCACCATAACATGATAATTATTTAGTAATTACAAAAAATTCCAGCAAACAGTAACACACACAATCTAGCTAAATTAACCAGGAATTGTTAAAGCAAAATGTTTCAAAGATGTGAATCAAGGGATAAATCGACTGCCGATCCACTGCATGCATAGATTATATCATCTTCTCCACAGGATACACATCCACATAGAGTTTGTTGAGGATCTAGTCGCTGTTGTTTGGCTCAGAGGTCTGCACAATCAGTCATGTTCTTCTCTCACAGTGCACCACCAAGAACACAAAGGGAGAGTTCACTGATCTCCTCCAACCGTCACTCACAAAGAGGATCGCACAAAGGGGTTGAGAGCACAAAGCCCACAGGAGCACAAAACTCACAGAAAGAGAGAGATCACACAAATCAGAGGAGAGCTCAAGCTCAAATCTTCACCTCTCTATCTCTTCTTCCTCTTCCTCCCTCTCCCGAGCTACTACCAACCCATTACCCATATATAGGGAAGGGGGCAGCCGACACGGGAGAGGAGCTAGGGAAGAAAACGAAGGAGGGAGCCGACCTACGGATGGGAGCAAGCGGCGGCCATCAGATCACGAAGACTTAGGAGGGGGTGAGAACCATCGGGTAGGTGAAGAAAAGAGAGGGGCTAGGGCACAAGTGGGGGAGCTGGGTATTTAGAGTAACGGGCCAACTTATTGGGCCAACAAAACAACCAACAATCTCCACCTTTGGCCCAAGGTAGTGCACAGAAGGAAAAAACACGGAACTGCAGGACTCATCATCGCCAAATTATTACCTGTATAATCACAAAGAAGATACAAGCAATGGAAGAGAATACACTAAGTAAACTCAGATCACAAAGATCGGGGTAAAATCACCAAGCATACCAAGTCCACAAAGGACCGAACTCTATCAAACGGTCATCGAGTTCAAAAGGGAAAAAATCACAAAGCTACTAACAAGCACAAAGCAAGTTAATAGGCCACAAAGGCAACACACAAAGCAAAAGGAGAAAATTACTCAAGCACAAAGCAAAAAGCACAAAGCAGATTAATAGGCCATAAAGGCAACACACAAAGCAAAGGGAGAAAATTACCCAAGCACAAAGCAAAAAAAAAAGCACAAGCAGATTAATAGCCGACAAAGCGCAACACACAAAGCATGCCGAGTCCACAAGGAACCGACTCTACAAACGGAACGGTCATCGAGTTCAAAGAAGAAAAAATATCAAATCATAGCATCGCATCTATCTCATGCCATATCAACTCCACCTCATTAAGGAATAACCCAATCTTGATTTTAATAATTATTCATCAGGATGTATTCCGGCGTTGATTAAAGCCGATTTGTCGACCTCATTGTGAGCATCATATTTCAGAATAGGGACAGGTAAAGTAACAAGGAAATTCATGAAACAGGGGTACATCTCTTCTTATCACAGAGTTAACAGAATCAAGCACAGGTCCAGCATGACATAACATAACAATTAATTTTGTTTTTCAGGCAAAATACATAACAAGAGATCCCTTTTTAGAAATTTTCATAACCCCTTTACCCCATTTTCCCTCTCAAACCATCATTCTAGAGATGCACAAAGAAATCAAGTTAAACATAAATCAAGGAACATGCCCTAAACATCCTTCAAAAGTAAACACAAGAACCAGAAGAAAAACTAAAGCATACATCACCAGTTCTAAAAACTATTAACATTCTTTTCATTTGCTCATTGACGACAAAGCCATTCTCTATTTTCTTGTAGTTTGAAAACATATTTTTAAATGAAGTCATATGAAAAGTACAACCAGAAAGTCTACCACACAATCTGATTGACCAAGGAATCAGATAAAACAGAGTTCAGATATGCAATATATCCACAGATTATAAATCATCGAAAATTCACTATTTCGCCTCCATAACAGCCATATAGTCTGATCATTTGTTGATTTTTCCTAGGTTTAGGACAAATCCCTCTAAATAAAGTGACCGTTTTCATGACATGTTATAAACATTTTCCTAACTTACGATGCTAACCATTTCGCATTTTCGAATTGATTTCCTACTTGATTCCGCCATCTACTAGCATTTATTTTGGTTATTAGACCAATTCTGAGCCTTACCCCTAACATGCAAAACCTCATACAGAATTTTTATTGTTCCCCAGACATGTTTAAATCTAATTCCTTACTCTTAAAGACCATTGACACAATGCAAGGGAACGCTCATCTCTACCATACTTAAATAGCAATTTCGGCAATCACTATATATGAGTCAGGAATAGCATTAGAAGGGCAATAGGAGTATAAGTCCGTCTATATGTTTATCAACCCAGTTAACTTAAATCTGAATAATGTTTGTGAAAACATTAGAGTTCCTCCTCAAATACCTTAGACATATCCCAATTCTAAAATTTGAAAATTTTTTCAATGGCAAAAACATTTTACTGGGTCAAAGAGGTTCAGTATAGAGTTTTCAAGTTTAATCCCAAAGGGTTTTAGCAGAGTTTCAAATTCCAACTTTTTCTAATCAAGAGTCAGATAATTCAATAAATTGTGGTTAACAAGCAATTTTCGTTATTTCAGGACTCTTTTCCTTCTGTCAGAAGTTAGGTAGAGTCTGACCAACAGCCCTAAAAAGAACTTCTGTTGAATTAAAGAATGCATTTAAATTTTTTGTTTCTCAAATGTTAAAATCAAATTTTTCGTGAACGGAGCCATAACCAATATTGACTCATACTATATTGAATTAGCCAGCAGAATTTCAATACCACAGAAAAACAAACAAGCAACTAAACATGAACAAATTCTCTGATTTCGTAAAATTATCTGCTCAAACGTGTGAAGCAAACTAAGCCAACAATGAGAAGAAACGGATGAACACAAGTTCTTGTTTCACTCCTCTTGGTCTTCTCACACGAGCACAAACAATAACAGAAACTACTTTCCAAAAAAGAAAAATGCTAACTATAGCCGGGAAAAAAATACAGAATTTTTACTGATATTTCAAACAAGGTCAGACTTAACTCACGAAGAGAAAACATAGGCAAGATATTTTTTTTCTTGTCATGCTCCTGAAGCGAAAACATATTCGAAGGAGAAAAGAAAAGGTAACAGTGGGTTTTCTCGATGATATAGCAGAGCGAAACCCCTACGAGAGGGTCTCCGACCTTACCCACGCCCACGCGGTGGTCCGGCGGCGGTCCGGCGGCGGTCCGACGGTGTCCAGCGGCAGCGACCAGCGGCGATCGACGCGGTTTTGAAGCACAACGGCACTACCTCGCTCTGATACCACTGTGAGGATCAGTCGCTGTTGTTTGGCTCAGAGGTCTGCACAATCAGTCCCCGTTCTCCTCTCACAGTGCACCACCAAGAACACAAAGGGAGAGTTCACTGATCTCCTCCAACCGTCACTCACAAAGAGGATCGCACAAAGGGGTTGAGAGCACAAAGCCCACAGGAGCACAAAACTCACAGAAAGAGAGAGATCACACAAATCAGAGGAGAGCTCAAGCTCAAATCTTCACCTCTCTATCTCTTCTTCCTCTTCCTCCCTCTCCCGAGCTACTACCAACCCATTACCCATATATAGGGAAGGGGGCAGCCGACACGGGAGAGGAGCTAGGGAAGAAAACGAAGGAGGGAGCCGACCTACGGATGGGAGCAAGCGGCGGCCATCAGATCACGAAGACTTAGGAGGGGGTGAGAACCATCGGGTAGGTGAAGAAAAGAGAGGGGCTAGGGCACAAGTGGGGGAGCTGGGTATTTAGAGTAACGGGCCAACTTATTGGGCCAACAAAACAACCAACAGAGTTACATGTCAGATTAAGAGTATGTTAAGATAAAGAACTCTAGTGATACACTGGATCAACACAAAAAAACCAAAAACCTAATTTGCATTTTGCAGAACCGACAGGCATCATGTTGTGATGATAATATTACCTAACCTGCCATCAGAATTTGTTTAGTTCGACTATCTACTTGTAGATTTGGGATTGGAAGTGTATTTACCTACTTTTACTTCAGTGTCAATTGACAAATTGGTTAGCGTTCTTTTAGCTTTGGGATTGGGTAGAGTACAACTTCTGTTTCAGAAATCATATTATGCATAGCATGAACCCTTTAGAAATGGCAAAATAGGGCAGACTCCATACTAATTCCCTCCCTCCTTATCCCTATCCCTCATAGTTAAATATCCCATTTTTTTGAAAATAGACTAGACATTATTCATTAACAAAAGGTTACTGCTGCACACCATCTCTTGCTGGCAAAGAACAGGAAGGGGAAACAAATATGCGGGGAAAAAAGAAAAGAAAAAAGAATCCCTTTACAGTTTAGGGGAAGGGCATCTGCTAAGCCACTAGTAACCTAATCTGTTTTTATATCAGGTCTGGGTAAAAGAAATAGTACAGTGGATATAATATCTTCTTTTTTTAAGGTGGAATATAGTTTATTGGTTATGAGTCTTGCTGGCGATAAACAAGCTGATTTGTGGCGGACAAGACTAAGAACCAGTATTGGCAGCTTGTCAAGCTGACCCATTTAAATGTCATCATGAAGCCGATTCCTGAATCCTGACCCACCTATACCACCAAGTTAACTATCGGCTGACCCATGATTAACCAATTTATTAGCCGTTAATTGGCACTAGCTCCCAGTATCAATTAAAACCCAAATTTACACCCAAAACCATCATTTACATTTTACTCATTACCGTGTGCACCAGTATGGAGCATGGCTTAAAGTCAAGAAGCTCCAAAACTGATTGACCAAGATCTCCTGCTAGGATTTCAATCTGACATCATCCTTCTTTTATTAGTTGGTATATTTTTTTCAGCCAACTACAGCTTTTTTCCCATTCAAAAGGCCTGCTTGGGAGTTGTTAGATCTACATTTATGGTAATCAAGATTAAAATCATGCACCCACAAAGAAACCTCCTATTCCTCTTAATGATGAAAGTGTCTACATGAAGTCGGATGATATAGATATGTTAATCATATTCATTACAAGGTAGAACAACATGAGCCAACGAGTCACATGGGATCAGTTGTCCGGCTATATGATGGATTATGTTTCTAGTTTTTTACGTATACAAAATCAGTGTAGACCAACAAAAGTAAGAATGAATGTAAAAAGATTATTAGAGTTGACATCGTTCCCATATCTAGTCAGCATATTGAAGCAAAATATACTAGTTTAACCAGCAAAAGTAGTTCATTTTGTAGTTCATTTTCTATCATGAATTAGGAACACGATTTAGAAACTTCTATGATAAGTGATAACAAAGCATTCATGAAAGCTTATGCATGAAAAGAAAATTGTGGAATCACAAAACAAATTACTTTAAGACTAAAATGACAAAGAGATCCAACCTGACTAGTCCAACCATCAAAAGACCCAGCCAAATGAACTTCTGTAGCAAAACCACGCCAGATTATGCACGTTGACCGAAGAAGGCGCAAATGTTTCAAAGAAGCATCAAGCCTCTTCTTTCTCTCATTCCGTGCTTCACTACAAAAAACAAACCAAAAAACCAAAAAGGAAAAATCAGTAAAAATAATGATAAAGCACCATTATGATAGGTTTTGTAAACATTGAATCTTAGAACATACATTATCGCATGTGTCATCTTTCCTTGTTGTATCACCGATTTAGCGCATAGAGACCGTAGTTTATCCTTGGCATTCATTATTTCAGCTTGCTTGAATTCCAACTCATCAGAAAGCATAGGCAGCTCCTTCAATGAGCTTATTTGATCCTGGACAATTGACTATAAAAGAAGAAAAGCTCATGAAAGTATTATATCTCTTTGATAAAGAATAGTAATAAACTAAAGCAGCCCAATAAATCTAAAAGGAGAATTGTGGAAAATCTAATCTAACCAATTATCCAATGTGCACTTTATAGGTGAAAACTGTTATCGTCTATTTGTCCAGGCAGAAATACAAAAAGAAACTTTAGGTCGTCATGGGAATAATTATATGACACGGTCAAAAGGCAAATTCAAAAGGGATTAATCTCCAAGTTAGGATCTTTCTCTTCCAAGGCACAACATAGGCCAAAGGGTCCAAATGAAATAACATTCCTTAGACAAAAATAATTAGAATCCAACAAGAAAAAAAATACTTTTATTATATTAATTGGAAAAATGAATCAGGCCAAAGGGTCCAATGGCTTCAATGCCGGTTACAATTATGTTCCCTAGATTAGTCAAAACCAAATTCACGATGCTAGAGAAAATTGGATCTAACAAAACATTCAATCACTTCATAATATTAGCATTTTCCAAGATATGAGACTTTTATAACAATCGCAGTTACAGTTCTCATTGACTGGTATTGGTGACAAAAGTTCAGGCCGCATTGATACTTTGAATGCAAGTACAGCTTTGATCACAAGCCCCTTTTATTTATTTTCTTCTCTTTTATTTTTTGGTATTATTTCCAACATAATACAAGGAAATCAACACCTTGGTACATCAAACCCCACATTCCTCATGTATCTGTGATAGTACCCAATATCAGTGGTATTGGCTGATTCCAACTGAATCAAGTCAGTGGGTTCCAAATCCAATACAACATGGTCAGCACTTCAATCCTTGGCATTTTTTGATAATTCTCTAAACGATAAATTAAAACTCAATATAGAAATAAGTAGTCGTTCCCACTATAGTTCAGTTCTAGTTTCTAGTAATTTTGTGAAAACCTCATTAGAGAAAAACTTAAAATTTTGTATTTACACTAAAGTGTATACCACCACCTGGGTTATAATAGTGGTCATCCATCTTCCCCCCTTTGCTATCCACAACAAAATAAGAGAGAGAGCAGATGGCATCTCCTGAATTTAAACCAATATTAAGTTATTACAAAATATTTATCTTTTAATCTAAAGGTTGCATCACGTCCTAACTTGAATAAGTAGTCAAAGGTTTTCAGAAAAAGATTATAAGCATATGCGAGGCAAGGTACACTTTCACATTGATAACGAGAAAATGTATCACAATCAACAGCGCTGCAAAAACAAATATAGTGTGGAAGATTAATTCAGCTTCATAAACACTAAATATAATCAATTATATGTCATACCTTATATGAATCAGAGCCTTTAGATCTCGATCGAAGTAAGTGAAGTGCAGAGGTAAGCTCAGACTCTAAGTGCTTTAGATGAAGATGCATCTGATTCTGGCAAATTTCCTCAGTATCACTGCATGTGTCTCTGCTTTCCTCACCAAATTTACTCCCACTCTGAGTTACTTCCTTGCCTTCCACAGAAATATTATCATTGAAGTTATGATTACCATTCCCCTCTTCATTTGGAACAAACTCAGCTGCTGCACCAATAGAAAACATTATAAACAAAAGTACACTTAGAAGAAAAGTTATAGGCTGTCCTGAAAGCTTTATATTTTGATATTAGAATTCCAAATCTTATATTTTCTATCTGCATCCTGAAATCCTTTCAATTTTAAATTAAACTCTTTCCAGCTTCCAAACAGAAAAATATAACAAAAATGATACACAACTGCAGCTAGAACTAACTAGGTGGTGTAATTTGGAACAATCAGAAGGACTTGGAAGATTTGGGGGAATAATAACAAAATATGAAAGATTTAGGATCTAATATGAGAAAAAATCAAAATCGTACCAACAAATTTTGAATGTTCAAAGACAGTTTACAAATACACTACCCTCAAACTCTGTTTCAGGATTGCCATCCCTCTGAAAGCTACAGATGGGCATTGTACTTGTGCCACGGTAATCCTCTGAAATTCGTTCCTCAGAATGAGCACCTTCAAATTTCAGAAACAACTGTTCATCAATGCCTAATGATATTGGCATGCTACTTCTATCAATGCAGCTAACTGCCTTTATATTTGTAATCAGAACTCAATGTTAGTTAAGAGGAATTATAAGTGGAAAAGGAGGGGAAAATATAATAAAACATGTAAAAAATAGTACAATCAACATAAGTTCAGAGATTTTTATGCATCCACAATGAGTTTAAGGATACTGAAAACTAGAACTTGGTATTACATGCACAACAAGATAAATCATACTAGGTTTGGGGCATAAATCATACTAGGTTTGGGGGCATAGTTTTGCAAGGATTTAAACAGAGAGAGCCATTAGAAAGTCTATGAGAAATTAGACTTTTGTTATTTCTATATTAGAGAAGGTATCGATCAATGTGCAAATAATAAATCCACATTTCAGATAACATGCCAAACCAGTAAAGTTCCTGTTAATTTCTAAATCATTCGATAGATCTTCAATTCTACTGGAGGAGTAGACGAAGTAGAAGCATGTCTTAAACTATTGATATAAATTATAAATACAGTGACCTTGTTCTTGTTTAAAGCAATATAATCACTGACCAAAACTAAAACTAGCAGGAAACTGATATCATATCAGTATCATGCCAAAAAAGTTGCAATCGGTTGCTATATACTAAAACAATTGTCAGTGATTGCAAGAATAACAAGTGACACTTGTTTTAGCCTTTATTGTTATTGTTATGTTTATGGCCGCACTTGTTGACCTATGAAGACAAGGGTGGATGCATGTGATCAGTGGCAATTTTATGGCCACATTTGTTGACCTATGAAGACAAAGGTGGATGCATGTATTCGGTGGCAACTTCTTTTGACAAAAGAAAGAAAAGATGTAGCCTAGTAATGACAAATGAAGAAGGATGGTGACAGGAGAGAATTGAAGGCGTGATTGGAAGCTGGATTGAAGGAATTGAAGGCTATAAAACTCCTCCCCTCTCTTCATTTCATATGCACTCAAAACCAGCAGAAAGTGATTGAGAGATAAACAGAGAGAAAGCCATACAACGAAATCTATGAGCTCTCAATATTTTGTATGAGTGTTGTATGTTGAGAAAGAAATATAGTGATACACCCTCTTGCCGTGGACGTAGATCAATTTGATCGAACCACGTAAATATTGTGTTTGTGATTGTTCTATTCTCTGTTTTAGTGGGTAATTTCCCCAACAGTTATATTTATGGAAATAATATCTGTGTTTTCTACAATTAACTCTGTACTTTCACCTGTCCCAGGTCTTGCATTATCATCTCATTATCAATCGTATCAAAATTTATCTATGATCTCATTAATATATCATTTCACCTTCTATCTCTCCTCTTTTCTCTTTTCCAAACCAGCTTCCAGCCAGCCATATCTCTCTCGAATTCGTGTGCGTGGCACAGTAACAAACTAGTTATGCAAATATGCAATCATCAAAAAGTTGCAAACTTTAACAAACATACAAAATCAAAACTTCACAAAAAGGGGGGAACTCACCATCATCCCCTCCATCCTTCCACGATGCTTTCCCATTAACTCGCTTCTCCGAAGAACCCAAACCATAAAACAAGTTCCTCTCCCTCTCCAACCCACTCAGTATCCCCTCAACCCCAACCACTTCCTCCTCGGCCTCCATTTCCCTTAGCAAAACATGCAAGACATCAATAAGCAAGAAACATGAAACTAAAAAAGATATTTCGAGAACCCACTCACGTTGAACCCTCCCTCTGCCAAGAACCATTTGGAGACCTCAGCTGAGAGATTCCATCATCTCCCCCCTCTTCTTCCACCTCCAAATCCCATCCAAACGCAAACCAACCCCCTTCTCTTGCGATCG